AGGGGGGGGTTCCTGCTGAGATGGGGGGGGTTGGGGTCCTCCTGGGGGGGGGGGATGGAAGGTGAGGCAAGAAAATGGGGAGATGCACCCCCACACACACACCTCGGACCACCAGGACCCACAGGGGACAAGGTGGGACCCATCTTCTCCCAGGGCTTGGGGCCACCTTGTGTGCACCCCATGGACACCTTGGTCCTGGGGGGGGGACGCTATGGGGACATGCCAGTCTCAGGGGGGCACCACGGGGGACAAGGTGGCCCCAGGTTGGGGGCACCATGAGGACCCTCTGGAGATGGTCATGTCCAAAGTGAGGGACACCGTGGGGACCTTCTGGGGATGGCCGTGTCCCAGAAAATGGGGAGATGCACCCCCCCACACACACCTCGGACCACCAGGACCCACAGGGGACAAGGTGGGACCCATCTTCTCCCAGGGCTTGGGGCCACCTTGTGTGCACCCCATGGACACCTTGGTCCTGGGGGGGGGACGCTATGGGGACATGCCAGTCTCAGGGGGGCACCACGGGGGACAAGGTGGCCCCAGGTGAGGGACACCATGGGGACCCTCTGGGGATGGCCGTGTCCCAGGTGAGGGACACCATGGAGACCTTCTGGGGATGGCCATATCCCAGGTGAGGGACACCATAGGGATCCTCTGGGGATGGCCATGTCCCAGGTGAGGGACACCATGGGGACCCTCTGGGGATGGCCGTGTCCCAGGTGAGGGACACCATGGAGACCTTCTGGGGATGGCCATATCCCAGGTGAGGGACACCATAGGGATCCTCTGGGGATGGCCATGTCCCAGGTGAGGGACACCATGGGGATGTTCTTGGTACCCCCTGGCCTTGGGTAGAGGACACTGGGGGACACCATGGGTGGAGGGCACCATGGGGACCTTCTGGACCACCCACGTCCCAGGTAGGGGACACCATGGGGACATTCTGGGTAGCCCCTGGCGTTCCCAGGGGACACTATGGGGACACCAGGGTCTTGGGTCCTTGGGTGATGGGTGGTGGATGCAGTGGGGACCCTCTGGGGACACCATGGGTGGAGGGCACCATGGGGACCTTCTGGGCCACTCAAGTCCCAGGTAGGGGACACCATGGAGACCCTCTGGGGATGGCCATGTCCCAGGTGAGGGACCATGGGGATACTTGGGCTACCCCCTGGCCTTGTGTAGGGGACACTGGGGGACACCAGGCTCTTGGGTCCTTGTATCATGCGTGGGGGGTAGAATGGGGACCTTCTAGGGACACCATGGGTGGAGGGCACCAGGGGGACCTTCTGGGCCACCCACGTCTCAGGTAAGGGACACCGTAGGGACCCTCTGGGGATGGCCATGTCCCAGGTGAGGGACCATGGGGATACTTGGGCTACCCCCTGGCCTTGTGTAGGGGACACTGGGGGACACCAGGCTCTTGGGTCCTTGTATCATGCGTGGGGGGTAGAATGGGGACCTTCTAGGGACACCATGGGTGGAGGGCACCAGGGGGACCTTCTGGGCCACCCACGTCTCAGGTAAGGGACACCGTAGGGACCCTCTGGGGATGGCCATGTCCCAGGTGAGGGACACCATATGGATGTTCTGGGTACCCCCTGGCCTTGGGTAGAGGACACTGGGGGACACCAGGGTCTTGGGTCGTGGATGGTGGATGTGGTGAGGACCCTGTGGGGACACCATGGGTGGAGGGCACCATGGGGACCTTCTGGGCCACCCATGTCCCAGGTAGGGGACACCATGGGGACCCTCTGGGTACCCCCTGGCCCCAAGTAGGGGACACTGTGCTCTTGGGTCTTGGGACATCCTGGTCATGGGTGGTGGGTGCTGTGGGGACCTTCTGGGGACACCTTAACCCTGGGTGGGGGGGTGAGGTGGGGGATGCTCCCTCTGGGGAGGGACACCATGGGTGGAGGGCACCATGGGGACCTTCTGGGCCACCCGTGTCCCAGGTAGGTGACACCATGGGGACCTTCTGGGGACACCTTAACGCTGGGTTGGGGGCGAGGGATGCTCCTTCTTGGGGGGGACACCCTGACCCTGGGTGGGGGGCACCATGGGGACCTTCTGGGACACCCATGTCCCAGGTAGGGGACACCATGGAGACCCTCTGGGACACTTTGGCCACAGGTGAGGGACAATATGGAGACCCTGTGGGTACCCCTTGGCCTTGTGTAGGGGACACTGGGGGACACCAGGGTCTTGGGTCGTGGATGGTGGAGGTGGTGAGGACCCTGTGGGGACACCATGGGTGGAGGGCACCATGGGGACCTTCTGGGCCACCCATGTCCCAGGTAGGGGACACCATGGGGACCCTCTGGGTACCCCCTGGCCCCAAGTAGGGGACACTGTGCTCTTGGGTCTTGGGACATCCTGGTCATGGGTGGTGGGTGCTGTGGGGACCTTCTGGGGACACCTTAACCCTGGGTGGGGGGGTGAGGTGGGGGATGCTCCCTCTGGGGAGGGACACCATGGGTGGAGGGCACCATGGGGACCTTCTGGGCCACCCACGTCCCAGGTAGGGGACACCATGGGGACCTTCTGGGAAGCCCCTGGCGCTCCCAGG